GGAGAGATGGGGAGATCAGTGAATGCATTTCCCACGTTTCTCATCTCATCTCCTGCTTTTCCTTGTTTGCATCTGATACATTGATCTTCTCACTGTTCTTCAAACACATCAAGCTTTTATACTTGCCCTTGAGCTGCCTGGACATTTGGATGATTCTTTTTTCAAATTCCACCTTCTTCAAGAGGCCTCCTCTGAACTCTATGCAAAATTGCCAATCCCTGGCCCCAGTTCATCTCAATCCTTATCCTGTTTTACTCTCTTTGCAAGTCTTAGCACCACTGGTAAGTATATAATATATTCCTTGTCTACTTGTTTGCTAACAGCTTCCTCTCTAAGAACGCACTGAAGCAGGAACTTTGTCTCGTTTCCCTGGTTATAATAAGAAGGTAGTGATTGTTATGAACACCCCCTTCCTGACTCACAAACTCACACCTGTCAGCTGGCAGAAGTTTGAAGTGCTGACCATGCAAGCTGGATGGAGATCTTTCTCATTGATGGTTCTAATGGAGATCGGTGAGGAAATGGGGTGACATAATTTAAAGGAGAGTGAGGCTCTGTCCCTCATTTGTGCACATAAATAGATATATATCTCGAAAAGAAATGTTCTCTGAACTCATTGGAACAGATAAGTATGAAGAGTTATACTATCATTCCCATTTCATGATAACTCCAAAAAAGTGAGTTTATAACATGCTGTTTTGATTATTAGTTTATGTAACAGTTCTATTAAGCTGATTCCAAAGCAATATGTTCCAAAGTGGTTTATATGAGGACACTAATAAAGCAGCACACCAAGCAAACAGACCAACTGTTATTTGGGCTGCTAACATGAATCGTTTCCATTGTCATTTTGAAGACTCTCCAAATTCTTAAGTCTAATATGGCTCAGGAAAACCCAGAGTTCTAAATTCACAAGTCAAATCAAAGGCAAGGTCATCAAATGCAAAGACTTCACCCTTTATCTCAAGAGGACTTTCAAGGACTTCACGGATTTGTGTTTGATG